CCCTACATCACAGACTTATTCCTTAAATGTGCACATTATAATTAGCTCCTTAGGTGCCTTCCGCTTAATGTTATTTTTCTGTTGCAATCATAGCTGTTGCTAACATTTTTTGCTGTAGAGAGAATGTTAATTTAAAAAAGCCAAATATAAAAAGTAGGGAAGATTCTTAGACTTGGTTGCCTTTCTCATCTTGTTTTCTTTCCCTTCTATTTTTTTCCCAGGTTGGGGGATCAGACCCAGTTTCTCATGCCTGCTAGGCAAGTACTCTGCCAACTCAGTTTTCACCTCTACTTTAAGACTTATAGGGGTTTAGTGTGGGATCTTGCTCTGAGTCATGGCAGATATGAAAACAAGGGAGAAGAGGATTTAATGGGGGTCAGTGGATGCAGCTGAACCATTTATTTCTCCCCTAAATGAACTTCAGTTCTGAATTGTACAGACATTAATCCTTGGCTCAAGATATTCTGTAACTGCCGGTCCATACAAGGCTGAGCCGTATTATTTTTAAAATAATATTTTGAATTTTATGACCACTGAGAACTAGAATTGACAAATTGGGTCTACCTAAGTAGCAGCAGCTTATCCAATCTCCTACTCTTATCTTCCTGAAATTTGTGTTTATCATAGGTTTTCATTTCCTTGTTTTAACTTTATTTTAATTGTTCAAAAACTATGGGAAACAAAGATTTTAATTACATGTAGCTTTCTGGGACATGCTTTTTTCATTGATACTATTTTGCAAAGATCTGTTCATATTATTGCCTGTAACTGTACTGTAGTTTATCTTTTTTTAATCGTAAATTATTTCTATCACATGACTATAGCACATTATACTCTTCTCAACAGAATTTAAGTTGCTTCTGGTTTGTCTCTTACAATCATGATGACATGAAATATTTCCAAATAGGCAAATATTTTTTTCCTATAAATATACTGAGGAGTCAAATTTTGAGTTATAATTAATATTAATGTGTTTGCTAAATTTATGAGTCATTATTTCTCTCCCAAGTGGCTAAACTATTTCACACTCCATGAGTAATCCAAAAATATCCCACTAATGCATTCTTTTAAATATTTGACATGACTGAATTTAACTTTTTTATATTTATTTAATTGGTAAAAATAAATCTCATCATGCTCTTGATTCATATTGTATAAATTATTTTGTTTGAGTATCACATTATATACTAGCCATTTGTTTATCTGTGAAAAAATTCTTATGCCTTTTACTTAAAATTTTTTCACAATGTTTTTCTTATTGAGTAGGAGTTTATCAGCAGAAAAGCTACTCATTGAAATTAATTTGGGGGCCTAACATGTTCTCCTGATGAGACATTTGAAACTACTTTTTTCAATTTCTGTAACATAGAAACAATATTTCTATTGCTTCTAGAGGATAGTTTTTGTAATAAATTTTAATATTCTGAGCAAGTATACTAATCTCTCCATAAGTAAAAGCCATTAATGGAAAATTCTTAATGTTCTAATCCCTTTTGTATTAAGTTTTTAAAATCTTTTTTCATCATGGAAAAATAACACAATTTTTCATTTAAAAATCATTTTTAAAACACACAATCCAGTAGCATTAAGTGCACGCATTTGCAGTGCCATGTAGCAATCACGGCTGTCCATTTCTGGAACCTTTTCCTATCACCCCAGACAGAAACTCTGCCTGTTAAATGGTAACTTCCCATTCCTCCTCCTCCTCCAGCCATTGGTAACCCCTGCATGGCATCCTGTTTCTATTACTATTCATTTTAATTGTTCAAAAACCCCAGGTATCTCATGTAAATGGAATCATACAAACTTTTTGTATCTGACTGTTCACTGGGCATAATGTTTTTGAGATTCCTCCGTGTTGTGGCATGCATCAGAACTTCCTCTTGAGGACTGAATGACGTCCCATTATACCATACATCTTTATGGGGTAGGTCCCATGTGATGTTTCAATATGCACGTACCTTGTGTGGCGTTGAAATCAGGGTAAACATATCTGTAACTTGGAGTCTCCTTTCTTCATGGTGAAAATATTCAGAATGTTTTCTTCTAGCTTTTTTGAAATGTACAACACATCATTGTTATTCTACTCCACCCTTGTTTCTCCTGTAATTTATTTCTCCTGTCACTTAGTCTCCAGAGACCAATCTTTCCCCCATCTCTTCCACCTGCCTGCTCTCCCCAGCCTCTGGTAAACCACTCTACCATTGACTTCTATGAGATCAACTTTTTAGATTCCAAATATGAGTGAAATCATGTAGTATTGTCCTTTAGGCCTATCCATATTGTCACAAGTGATAGGACTTTATCTTTTTTAGTGGCCAAATGGTATTCCATTGTGCATATATATCACATTTACTGGAACCAGTCATCAGGTGGAAACTATTTTGAAAAGCAAAATAGAAAACAGAATTCATCTGTTGTTATACCAGCCAGATATAATAACTTAACTAATTGTTACATTATTTCACATCTTTTTAATGAGTATGTTAGTCAAAATGCCATCATGCTTGTGTTTTTATTATAATTTGAATATTTTTGATATTCATCTAAAACATTCTTTAATGGTCTTAAGATTTTCACCATATATAGGTCCTATAATTTTTCTGTTTTAGCAAGATTATAAAAGAACGATGGTGAGTGAGTCCTACATTGAGGAATAAAAGCAAAAGCAGTAATCAAGGGATCTTGCATTATCATTTATCTGAACATGACAAGAATATTTTGCCATAATTCCTATTTACTAATATTTTTTTTCTTTCACATTTTATTGTTGAATCTTGATTTTCAGGGAATGTTTTCTTTAATCATATAGTAGTAAAACGTGAGATAAAGTAAGTCAAGAATTAGAAAAACAATTTAAAATTTTGTTCTTTCCTGTTATAGTAATGGTTTATAGTAAAAACCCTTAGAAAATTAGCCAGTATTAGGACTGAATTCAGGGCTATTGAATTTTGAATATCATAAAGCTAAGTTCATTGGTGATGCAGACAGGTAAGACACATTGTGTGTGTGTGTGTGTGTGTGTGTGTGTGTGAGTGAAGTGTGCTATGCTTCATGTCTCAGGTCTGCCATGATTTGGGTGCCTATCCTCTCAGGATTAGCAGTTTTTTGGAGTGGGATGTATTCGGAGGAAGAGTCTCGCGCTGTAACCCGCACTGGGTCATCTGACACTGTTGTCCCACTGAGTCAGCTAAGGCTCACATTTTGAATGGCAGAAGCTGGACATTTTCAGATTTATGTTTGAGCTGTGATGTGAAGTGTGGGAGTGCATGACCTGTTGAGTAGAGTCCCTTACTGTATCCTTTCTCCATTGGGCAAGTGTGAGGGTCCACAAGAGCCATCAGTGATGCCCTGGCTCAAGGTGCTGAAGCAATGGCTCTGTCTGAGGTGTCATGGCCATGTCTTTGAGGTGTCAAAGCATGTGATCACCACAAGCTCTTCCTTCCTGTCAGAAGCAGCCACGGTTCTGGGAACCTAACTAACCTGCTGACCTGAGAGGACGAGATTCCAGGTTGATTAATGCTCCTGTACTTTCTGGAGCTCAGCTGGTGACTGTTTCAAAGTTGAGTTTTTCCTGTTCCTCATTCTTCTGTTCTTTCTCCAATTAGAAAACAGCATTCTTGGAAAGTTTCCTGAGTATTTGGCCAACACAAGGAAACTCTAGCAACAACACTTTAAATGTTAATATGTAATATTTAGTTGGCCTTACAATTGCAGGAAGAATTAAAAGAAAGATTAAAGGACTAGTCCCTAAATGCATTGGTAACACGCCTTAAGTGAACAGAATACACCAAACTGGACAGAAAAGAGGGAAACACTGGGTAGTGACAGGATTATGTAGCAGGTGGAGGGAGCTGGAGAACTTACGGAGAAGACGGTGTGTAAACAAATCTATTATCTTTCAACGACTTAAAACCTGTTTGGAAAAAAAAAAATGCCGGGGTGGGGGGGAGGGAACCATTTGAAAAGAAAGAGAAAACCGACATGTAGGGGTCCTATTGTCAGATTTCAGACTTTCTTCTCTCCAAACTTACTCAATTACATGATGTTGTGGTTCTCACATCTTGTTCTATTCTGTAGTGAACGTCGAGGGGGCCACACAGGTGTGGCTCAGTAAGTAAATTCTGAATGAAGGCTTGTGGTTTTTGTTCACTTGCTTCCATTTCCTTAATGTGGTGACGAAGAATACATTTTTAGAAATAGAAGTGCTCCAGGACACACCTTTGAAGGGAGAAAAATACTGAGGAGTCTGGATCCACTCTGAAATCAAACTCTCTTGGGAGAGAAGAGCTTTTTTTTGAGTGGAAGATAGCTTTAAAGAGGCCAAGATGTTTTGAAATCTGGGGTTCTACCCATTGAAAGAAAAAGGTTTAGGCTTGAACGGGATCAAGAGATGGTCCGGTGCAGTCATGATCCTAATTGAGAGGCAGCTGTTATTTCAGAGAGAAAAACTCAAACCCAGGGAGGAGAGGTGATGTGCCCATGGTTGTCACCATGACTTGTTATGGCTTGTCAAGGAGATAATGGGACTAGCCTGCAGGTCATTTTCAGTTCTTCCGTTTAGCACATGAGCAAATTGTATGAAGAAAGTGGAGCTGGAAAAGGCTGCGACATTTTGACCAGCTAATGTGGAGCAAATATGTCAGGTAGCTTGAAGCTTTGGGGGAGGCTAACGACAGGAAGGGATTATTGACTTCATTCAAGAAAGAGGAACTTTGCTCCTCAGTCAGAATCCTCCAATCCTCCCACTTCTTCCACCAGTCCCTGAAACTCAGCTAAGGCAGGGCCTCTGTATCAGGAGCACTGAACTCAATGAGGAAATCCTGGGTCAGAGTTTTTCCCGCTTGTTTTCAGAGCCCCTGCCAAGCCAGTTACAGGTGGATTTGCATTTTGGTTAGGAAATTGTTGGGCCAGCCCAGTTTTAGGCAGTTCAACTTCCCCCTGGGTGGAGCCCAAGCTTTATAAAAAGGTCCTCTGATGGATGGATAGGATACTCCTGGTACTTGAGTCTTGATCCACTTTGGAGAACCTGGTGAGTCCATCCGACTTTTCTTGAGTTTATCTGACTTTTCTCTCTCTTTTTGTCTTATCAAGTGTTGAATTGAATCTGGAGACGGTGAGTTTGGTGGGTCCAAATTATAATCGTGGGACAGATGTTATTTAATGAAATTTACCCCTGGAGCATAATGATTTACTGTATTGATGTGTTTTTGTCTTGTAGATAGTTTGATATTCATAGAGAAAAAAAAACACGATGATAGGAAAGATTTGTTTTGAAGAAAAGGACAGAATGAAGCATTTTTCTCTTTTTCATATCTTTAGTGTCCCTTTTAAAGGTCTATTCAGATGTGAGACCCTTGAATTCTTCCACAACGGCCCTGTACTCTGTATCCTAGCCGGCCTACTGGGACTTTATATGAGATAATGATAGGGATTGCTTGTGACTGCCTTTCTTAAAGATTTTATTTTCATGCAAATGACATTATTTAATTCTTTAAAACAGATATTTTCTTAGTAAAAATTGCATGAGATAAAAGGAGGTTTCCCCAAGTCTGAAACAGATTACTAAAACAGAAGGGAGAAGTCACAAAGTCATACACGGGGAGAGAAAAATAATGTCCCCAATGTTACATAACCATTGCCTTGTTTCTCCGTAGGAATCTCTTTTTGTGAACACTGTCATCTCTTTTTTTTTTTTTTTTTTTTTTTCAGATTCTGAGACTCTAGAAGGATGTCTTATCAACAGCATCAGTGCAAGCAGCCCTGCCAGCCACCCCCAGTGTGCCCACCTCCAAAGTGCCCTGAGCCATGCCCACCCCCAAAGTGCCCTGAGCCATGTCCACCCCCCAAGTGCCCTGAGCCATGCCCACCCCCCAAGTGTCCGGAGCCATGTCCACCTAGACAGTATCAGCAAAAATGCCCTCCTGTACAGCCTCCTCCGCCCTGCCAGCAGAAGTGCCCACCCAAGAGCAAGTAACAGCTTCAAGATTCATTGAGATCATGACAAGACGAGGAAAGTTGGCTGCTCTAATTCCACAGCAACATCTTCCTCTCCAAAGCTTATCAAGCATACAGAACCTTCTTCTCTGTCCTTTAGCCTATAGTCTGCCTGTGATCACTGCTGACAGTGAGGAGCATCCTGTTAGACTGTTATGTCCCAACATTAACTGAGAGACGACAGTGCCCGGCTGTGCCAGCATCCAGCCCTGCAGAAGGAAGAGCAGCCGTGCTCCCGCTCGGTGCCATCAGAGGGTGTCTTCCCTGTCTGTCACCTGGGCAGGAATTTCTACCATGTGGGCAACTGTAACTCTTCTTCCACTTTCTGAATAAAGCAACTTTATTTTTGGTGACAGGATAAGTGTTCTCTTTCTTTTTAAAGATGATTTCCATATTCAAACTCATGTCATTATCTTTAATTCCTGCTTGACTGTTTTGAGGGACAAATTATTTAACTCTTGAGAATTTCAATCTCTTTACTGTACAGTGGGGAAATGGGTGTTAATATCATGAACTAGTCTTTGGCATGAAATTGAATTTGTGCACGTCGCTTGGTTGGGACAATGCCCGACACCCAATTAGAACTCAATAAGTGGGAGTTTATTAGCAGCAGCTAATCATCACTATTTATCTTACCACCACCACCACCATATTTGCTGAAGCAAGAAAGTGACTTCCACAGAAGTAGAAAATAAGTTGTAAAAACTTTATTACTGTTTATTTTCTAACTCAATTTTTCTAAGTGATACTATTGCGGATAAAGAGCTTTTAGGAATTGGTGAATGTCCTGCATAAAATTACAGCAGTCTTTAGAACACAGATTGTACGGAATCAAACTGTCAGACTCTCATGTGTGCCATCACCTTCTACTTCTCTCCCCCACCCCGCATCCCTCCCTCCCCTCCTTCTGGTACTGGGGATTGAATCCAGAGACACTTCACCACTGAGTTACATCCCCAATCCTTTTTATTTCATTTTGAGGCAGGGCCTCACTAAGTTGCTGAGGATGGCTTTGAACTTGCAGTCCTCTGCCTCAGCCTCCCCAGTTGCTTGGATTACAGGCATGTGCCACCATGCTTGGTCATGTATGCCACATTCTTACTCCACCAACACAAAAGCATTCAGGGTCCTACCATTGTTGTTCGCCTCTGAAATTACTTTCTAGGGTGTTCGGGCCCTACATTTGAAAAACATTGGTGTCTTCACTGTTTGGGATCTGCAAGTTCCTGTCACTGTGCAGACGGTTTACTAAGGGTTTGGCCTCCTAGTCAAGTAAGCTCATGAAATGGGGTACGTGGCTGCTTCTGCCGCCCTTTCTCTCCAAGGAGCTTCCCCAGCCGCAGACGCAGAGATGCAGATCTTTGTGAAGACCCCGATGGGTAAGACTGTCACCTGGAGGTTGCGCCCAATGATACCATGGAGAATGTCGGAGCCAAAATTCAAGACCAGCAGAACACCCCAGCTGACCAGCTGCATCTGTATCTGCAGGCAGACGCGGGAGGATGGCGGCGCCTCAGATCAAGCCATCAAGACAGAGTCCCCTGCACTTGGTGCTTCACCTGTGAGGTGGCAGCATCGCGCCTTCCCTGGGCCAACCTGCCCAGAGTATAACTGGGAGAGACGAGCTGTCACAAGTGTTACACCCGCCTGGGCCCCCAAGGGCTGTCAAGGGCCACAAGAAGAAGTGTGGCCACACAGCCACCTCCACCCCAAGAGGTCAATAAAACCGCTCCGCTGGCTCCTTTTCCCAAAGGGTGGCCTCCTCCCCAAGCCATGTATGGCCTTGGGACCTCAATAGAGTCTCCCTTACATTGACTGGAGTAGTTAAAAAAATGTGATTCTTTTCTTGTGGTCCCAAGTGTCCAAAATGGGAATCGAAATTGAATGAGAAAGGTCGATTATGTTTTTAACTTCACAGGGTAGAATAAATTTATTTTTGAATCACAAAAAACTGTCTATTATAATTCTTTGAGGACAGGTCTGAGTCTTGATTCTTCTGAGTAACATTTCCTTCCTCTGCCCAAGGAAGCTTTCTTACGTCCCTAAGGGGTGTTTTAAAGAAAAGGATATTGAAAAAAATATATTATGTGGTTGATCCTGTGGCTCTTAAGTGTTTTGGAGAGGCTCGTGTGCTGAAGGCCTGGTCTCCAGCTGGTGGTACTACTGGGAGGTGGTGGAACTCGGGATGTGGGGCTCGGCTGGAGGAAGCCCTAGGTCACTCGGGGCATATTCTTGAACAGTCTGTCTTGTCCAGTCTCTCTCTCTCTCTCTCCCCCTCCTTCCTGGCCACTATGAGATAAGCAGCTTCCCTCTACCACACTCTTCAGCTGTGATGTGTCCCTCAGCACAGGTCCCCAAAATGGATCCAGCTTACCCTGGACTGTTGAATACACAAGCCCAAATAAATGTAGGCTCCATTTATTGATTTTTCTCAGGTACTTTTGATAACAAACCTTGGTCTTTGTTCTTGATGCCAATCCAATAACAAGGACAAGGTTTTAAGAAAAAGGAAAAAGTTTTCTGGAGATTAATCCCCTGTCAAAGGTGTAGCTGGCAATTTTTTTCTCCCATTAGGTAGGCTTGTTCCTCACACTCTGAATTGTTTTACCTATTGTGCAGAAAGTGTTTAACTGGATGCCATGCCACTTAGTGATTCTTGGTTTTATTTATTGAGTTTTAGGGGTCTTGTTAAGGAAGTTGGTACCTGTGGCAATATGTTGGAGTAGTGTCCTGATGTTTTTCCTACACATGCAACTTTCTGGTCTAATCCCCAATTATTTGATCCATTTTGATTTGACCTTTGTGCAGAGTGAAAGATGGGGATCTAGCGTCATTCTTCTACATAAGGAAATTCAATTTTCCTGGCATCTTTTGTTTAAAAGGCTATCTTTTCTCCATCCTATGTTTTTGGCACTTTTGTGGAGTATCAGGTGGTACCTCTGTGGGTTTCTCTCTATTTTCTAATCAAGTCTTTTGATAGTCATGTCTGTTTTATGCCAATACCATGCTGTTTTTGTTACTATTGCTCTGTAGCATTATTTGAGATCAAGTATTATGATGCCCCTAGCATCACTCTTCTTGTTCGATATTGTTTTGGCTATGCTACATCTTTCATGATTCCAAATTGATTTTAGGACTGTTTTTTTTCTAGTTCTGTGAAGAGTGTCATTGGTATTTTGATGAAGATCACATTGAATCTATATATTGCTTTTGGTAATGTGGCCATTTTGACAATATTAATTCTTTATTCTAGAACATGGGAGGCCTTTCCATCTTTTAAGATCTTTAATTTCTTTCTTTGCTTTTCTACATTTTCATTGTAGAGTCTTTTACTTCATTGGCTAGATTTATTCCCAAGTTCTTTTGAGGTTTTGTGAACAGGATTATTTTCCTGATTTCTCTCCCAGTACACTCACTCTTGGAGTACAGAAGGCGTGACTTATGGATGTCGATCTTGTACCCCACTATTTAGCTGCGTTTGTTCATCAGTTCTAGAAGTTGTCTGATGGATATTTTGGGTCTTCTGGATATAGATATCATCCTATTTGATTTTCTCATTAGCAAACAGAAATATTTGACTTCTTCTTTTTCTATTTGTAGCCTTAATTTCCTTCTCTTGTCTGACTACTGTAGATAGTTTCAAGAACTATATTAAATAGAAGTGATGAGAGTAGGCATCTTTGTCTTATTCCTGGTTTTAGAGGAAATACTTTCAGTTTTTCTCTGTTCACCTCTGTATGATGTTGGCTTTGGGTTTGCTGTATAAAGCCTTTATAATGTTTAAGTTTCCCGTATCATTCATTTCTCCAGTGTTTTTAACATGGATGTGTGTTGGATTTTCTGCATTGAGATGATCATGTGATTTTTGTTCTCAATTCTATCTATATGGTGGATTACATTTATTGGTATATATATATATATGCCAAATAAAATGTTAATGGACTTTTATTTATTTTTATGTGGTGCTGAGGATTGAACCCAGTGTTTCACACATGCTAGGCAAGCGCTCTGCCACTGAGCCACAACCCCAGCCTGGTTTGCATATATTGATCCTAACTTTTACCCCTGTGATGAAACCTATTTGATCATGGTGTACCATCTTCTTGATGTCTTTTTCAATGCAATTTGCTAGTATTTTATTAAGGATTTTTCTGTGTTCATCAGGGATATTGGTATGTAGTTTCCTTTTCTTGTTGTGTCTTGGATTTTTCAAATTGGGATTATTCTGGCTTCACAGAATATATTTGGCAGTGTTCACTCCCTCTATATTTTATGAAATAATTTGAGGAAGACAGGTTTGAGTTCTTTAAAAGTTCTGGTAGAACTTGGCTGAGAATCCATCTGGTCCTGGGATTTTCTTTGTTGGAAGGCTTTTAGTTGCTACTTTAATCTTGATATTGGTCTATATAATATATTTTCCATATATTTCTGGTTCAAATTGAGCAGGTCATATGTGTCTAGAAATTTGTCAATGTTTTCTGGATTTTCCAATTTATTGGAGCATAAGTTTTCAAAATAGTTTTTAATGATACTCTGAACTTCAGAAGTGTCTATAATGATAGGGCTGGGGTTGTGGCTCAATTGTAGAGCGCTTGCCTAGCACGTGTGAGGCACTGGGTTTGATCCTCAGCACCACATCAAAAAATAAATAAAACAAAGGTATTGTGACCATCTACAACTAAAAATATTTTTAAAAGGAGTGTCTGTGGTGGTCTCTTATTTTATCTCTAATTTTGTTGATTTGAATCTTTTCTTTCTTGTACTTAGTTTGGCTAAAGGTTATCAATCTTATTTATATTTTTGAAGAACTAAGTCTTTGTTAAATTGATCCTTTATAATTTTTTATTCTTCATTAATTTCAGCTCTGATAATAACTATATCCTGAAATTCTTCATTTTCTAGTGCCTTCAGGTGTAGTATTAGATTATTTACTTGGGATTTTTAAAATGTAGGCACTTAATGCTATGAACTTTCCTCTTAGAACTGTCTTCATGCTGTTTCAGATAATTTGATATGTTTTATTTCTGCTATCATTTGTTTCTAAGAATTTCTTTTTTTGTTTGTTTGTTACAAAATAGGTCTTTATTCTTAGGAAAATATAGTCAGAGCTAGCTTCTTTATGCTATACATAAAATCTTAATCCGTGGCAGTACAGATAGTACAGATAGTTCTAAAACTGATCTCCAAACAAGCACAAACCCACTATTTTGCCGGGGGGGTGGGGGGGTGGTGGGGGGAGCGGGTGGGCGGAGGGGGGGAGGTAACTTGAGGTTTTTGGCAAGAGCAGTTCTTCACACATCTAATCCAAATCAAAGAGCCTGCAGACAGT